CGAACGTCGGAGGTGGTTCTGCTACCCTCGCGCGTGCGAACGTCATCCAGAGTCTCAATGGCCTCAGCACCAGCATCAGCAGCCAGAGGCTTGTGCTTGGTACCAGGAGTAAACTTGTCACGGATGGTGTGGGAAACGGCACGGCCGAAGACGACCAAGTCGAGGAGAGAGTTGGCACCCAGACGGTTGGCACCGTGGACAGAGACACAGGCGGCCTCACCGCAGGCAAACAGACCAGGGACGACCTTGTCGTTACCAGACTCGTCAACAGTGATGACCTCACCGGTGTACTTGGTAGGAATACCGCCCATGTTGTAGTGGACGGTGGGCAGAACAGGAATAGGCTGGGTGCGAACGTCGACACCAGCGAAAATGCCGGCGGTCTCGGAGATACCGGGCAGACGCTCGTGAAGAACCTCAGCGGGAAGATGGCTGAGCTGGAGGAAAATGTGATCCTTCTCCTCGCCAACACCACGTCCCTCGCGGATCTCCATGGTCATGGACCGGGAGACGACGTCACGGGAAGCAAGATCCTTAGCGGTGGGGGCGTAACGCTCCATGAAGCGCTCACCCTCGGAGTTCAGAAGGTAACCACCCTCACCGCGGGCTCCCTCAGTGATCAAGCAGCCAGCGCCGTAGATACCAGTGGGATGGAACTGAACGAACTCCAAGTCCTGGTTAGGCAGACCAGCACGAGCAACCATGGCCATACCGTCACCAGTGCAGGTGTGGGCAGATGTGCAAGAGAAGTAGGCACGTCCGTATCCGCCGGTGGCCAAGACGGTGTGGTTAGCAAGGAAACGGTGCAAAGTGCCATCCTCCTGGTTGTAGGCGACGACACCGCGGCACTCTCCATCCTGCATAATCAGATCGAGAGCGAAGAATTCGATGAAGTAGTTGGTGTTGTGACGGAGAGACTGTCCGTAAAGAGTGTGGAGAAGAGCGTGACCAGTACGATCCTCAGCAGCGCAGCATCTGTAAGCCTGTCCACCCTTGCCGAACTTCTGAGACTGACCACCGAATGCACGCTGGTAACTGTGAAGCGAGATATGTTAGCATCTGTCTGTATCCAAGGTGTTTGTGGGCCTTCTTTTCTTCGACTCACATCTTGCCATCCTCAGTTCTTGAGAAGGGGCATCCGTAATTCTCAAGCTCCACGATGGAGGCAGGCGCCTCACGGGTCATGTAGTGAATAGCATCCTGGTCACCGAGCCAATCTGAACCCTTGACGGTATCGTACATGTGCCATCTCCAGTCGTCCTCATGCATGTTTCCGAGGGCGGCGTTGATGCCACCCTGAGCGGCGACAGTGTGACTTCTGGTAGGGAAAAGCTTTGAGATACAGGCAGTGTTGAAGCCAGCCTCTGCGAGGCCGAAGGCAGCACGAAGACCAGCACCACCGGCACCGACAACAATGGCGTCGTACTCATGGTCGACGACGGGGTACTTGCTGGAAAGGTAGGGTGAAGCCTCCTTTGCGCGGAGGTGCTGGTTCGCGTAAATCCGCGCGGCGGATCTAGTCGTGGAGAATGCGCGCGCCTGCGAGAACTGAGATTGCCAAGTATTAGTTCTACTGTTCAAGCCGAGGCCGTATTTAAACGCAGGACGGATCAAAGGAGCGACGTACAGCAGGCTTAGCAGCAAACCTCCTCAACGCCATTGATGAGGCCATGATTGATGTGTACACTATCTTGCAGTATCAGTATGCGTTTCGGTCGCGGCTGTATGTTCTATCTAGAATTGCGGGAGGCGAAGGGGGCGAGGTGATGATGGCCGAAGATATTGGGTTGAAAGCCGCTCGTGTGTAACCGGGTGGATGGATAGATCGGTACTGACCGTTATCGGAAGACGGAAGAGAGAGGAGAGGTCAAGCCTAGAATTGCAAAGTTAACAAATTGGTAACAGAGGTACCTGGATTTTGGGATACTCACCGTCGAATTGAATTGGTCTCCAAAACGAGGTGCGGTCTCTGAGTGATGAATAGACCTCCAACCAGTGTATGGAGAAAAGTACGGAACAAACCACGGCAAACCTCGCACACGTCTTCTGCAATAAGTCAGCTCGGCACCTCGGGTAATCACACTGTTGGTGATTGGTTGAGATAGCTATGGCTAGTGGACTCACGCCACAACCACAGTCAAGCCACAGTTGGTTTCCGGGGCAGAGTTCACATGTAAAGTCCCGTCAAATTCCGAGATCGATTCCGGGGTATCATCAGTGCGACCGGATGAAAGCTTAGCCTTCGTTGATCAGCCGCCCGAAACTCGAGGTTCTATTCTTAACAGACAGGCAATGACCAAAAGTCAATGTCTCTGGTTGCGATCAATTGTTGACTCTATATTTTGCCATTTCCCCTTTCCCTCTGATTGACAGTTTGATAACTTGTTAGTTTGCACGTCGAATTGTGTACACTACGGGTGCTCTTTGCCCGTTCCCGAGCGGCATTGCCGAGGTGCGGGTGGAACTGGGTCTCTTTGTCGATGGGGAGGAGAAAATCCATGACTTCACGACGAGAATCGCCCATCGTCAGCAGTTCTACTTTGCCACACTTTCGAACAATGCAGAGCCTCGGTAGACAACCACACAACTAAAAGGAGAACGTGACTCTCAACCGACAATTGAAACGCCAACCAATTAGACTTTTGATGTCTTCAACACACAGTAATGCGACTTGATCAGGCGCAACGATCTGCGCGGTTGCTGCAAGACCAATTGACCCACAATAACTCTTGCGCTGCAGGAGTGAAGTGTTGAAAATAGTAATTTAGGGTTACTCTAGGTATCTGGTATGGTGAAGCCACCCCGTTGCAAACAATTCGCCCGTGGCGACTCACTAATGTCGCGCCCTCTGCGTCCTCTTCAATCGGCTCGTTCCTTCACGTGCCGTGACAGTCTCGGGCCTAGCTAAGCCTTGCCTCCCATCTCATCGCTCAGGCACTTTCAGACACAGGGCCAAACTCCTATGAGTTACTGCGGGCTAACGAAAACAAAAGAAAGCCTGAATTCAAAGTCCCCTTTTAGTGTGTCCAAGGAGTTCAAACTCCAGCCATGCTCATAAAGTACACACTACCTAGTATACAGCCAATATCGCGCCGCCCAAGATTATGACTCCAAACGTAGACCCCACAGCTTCTCTAGCTTCTTAGAAAGCCATCTGCTTCTTGATCTCGGCAATAGCCTTGCCGGGGTTCAGGCCCTTGGGGCAGGCACGTGTGCAGTTAAGAATCGTGTGGCAACGGTACAAGCTCATGGAGTTGTCGAGTGCAGCCTTACGCTCGGCCTTCTTCTGATCGCGAGAGTCGGCGAGCCAGCGGTAGGACTGGAGGAGGATGGCGGGTCCAAGGTACTCCTCAGAGTTCCACCAGTAAGACGGGCACGAGGTTGAGCAGCAGGCGCAAAGAATGCACTCGTACAGACCGCTCAACTTCTTTCGGTCGGCGACGCTCTGGCGGTATTCCTTGCCCTGTGGAAGAGGTTAGCTGGGATCATTCGAGATGCTGCAGTCTGAATCAACGTACATCAGGGGCAGGAGTGTCTCTCTGGAGGTAGGGCTTGATTGAGCGGTATTGCTTGTAGAACTGGGTCAAGTCCGGCACCAAGTCCTTGACGACGTAGGTGTGAGGCAAAGGGTAGACCTTGACGTCTGAAGCGTTCTCTGAAGGGATACGGCCTTTCGTTGTTGTTAGCATTGAATCGCCGTGAGTTCTTTCAGCAGCTTGCAAAGCCAGGTGGCTACAAGGGTGCTTCAGGAGTCAACGTACAAAGGCAAGCGAGCGTGTTCTGGCCGTTAATGTTCATGGCGCAGCTACCGCAAATACCCTCTCTGCAACTTCTGCGGAAGGTAAGGGTAGGGTCCAGCTCGTTCTTGATCCGAATCAATGCATCCAGCATCATGGGTCCGGTCTTGTTCAGGTCCAGCGTGTACTCCTGCATCTTGGGCTTCTCGGTCGGCGTGTCGGGGTTCCAGCGGTAGATGGTGAACTTCTTCATCTTGGGCTCCTTTGTCGCAGGCACTTGATCGCTAGGGGTAGCCAGGCCACGGCGAGGAATAGTGACGGCAGGGCGGAAAGCAGCCTTGGTGGCCGAGCCCAAGACGCGGGTGGAAGAGCGGAGAGATGCCATTATGGCGGTTGGTTTTCGTATGCAACTGGACAGAAAATGGAGATGAATGAATTGATTGTTGACACACCGAGTTGAAGATGAGCGATTCCAACGAATTGGCGGGGCGCGGTGTGGGAAAGCTGCGATTCACCGTAGTATTATCCTTGGTGGCGGTTCAGAGTGTAGTGGAAGACATCATGGAAGTTTGCTTCAATCCCTCGGTTATTGTGTCGAAGCGGCCGGAGCAAAAAGGTGGGACCCTTGACCAATCATTGCTGAGTGATTTTAAACCACATTTCAATTGCCGCTTTTGGCCTCAATCCCGAGCTCTTACCTTGTGTTTCCGGATAAATGCTCAGCAAACCGACTCGAAGGTCCAAAAACCCTGCTTTTAAAGGCATCTTCATTGTTGTGTGAGTAATATACCGATGTTGAAATCTCCAGACTACCTTACTTCGCTGCACATTTTGACAATCATATCTGTACATCCGGAATCCCGGCTCGTGATAACTTAAAGCAGCGTGCACCTCCTTCCCCCGGTTTTCGTGTGGAATAAACCGGCATCTGGGACCGGGAGCAGCTGAAAGCTGACTCAGCGGGAATACCCCGGGTAGATAGCAGCCCTGGGGAATCTGGGGTTGGGGCCTTTTTCTTATGACATCAAGTGGACGTTGCATTCCCTTTCAGACGCGACTACCTATCACAAGTCGTCTATCCATTTGACGTTACGAAAGTGCTCGTGTCGAAGAAGCGTCTCGAGCTACGAGAATATCTTGGGTCCGCAATTTAGCTATGTGATTCCAGTCACATTTCTAACGAGCAATTGATACGGTTAATATGCGGACTGCGGAAGCACCGCATCTCCAAGAAACACTCTACATCGCAGCACATTGGAAGCAATGGCCGCAACGGTGACAGTATTGCGCCAGCCTCTGGTCCTCCTCCCTGCCACAAGGCCATTATCACAAGGTACGCTTCTGCTTTGCATCGAATTCTAAAATCCTCGTACTAATTATACTTTAGCATCCGTTAGCTTCTCAAAGTATCTCGTCCGACAACGGTCGACCCCTCCGACGAACATCTCATCGCGATACTTCTCAACAGCCAGCAGCATGAAGTCCGACTCGGCTGCAAAGCTATCCTACCACGTTGCTGCGTCTTTTACCGCGAAAGACCATCCCTACGACCCATCAACGCACGTCTTTCACTTCAATCCCTACAACCGTATCCAGCAGAACCGTAGCAAACGCTCCAGACCAGACAGCGGACACGATGCCTTTTTCGTCAGTCGAGTCGGCGACTCTGGCGCAGTAGCCCTTGGTGTGGCTGATGGCGTCGGCGGCTGGGTAGATTCTGGTGTTGACCCGGCGGATTTCTCACACGGTTTCTGCGATTACATGGCTTCGACAGCCTACGGACACGGTTCAATCAAAGACGACCCGATCACAAAGGGCACGGGTGACAAGGAGCCGCTAAGAGCGCAAGATCTGATGCAAAAGGGATACCAGGCGATCAATGAGGACAGCACCGTCATTGCTGGTGGCAGTACAGCGTGTGTTGCTGTAGCATCCTCAGACGGCAACCTCGACATTGCCAACCTAGGCGACTCTGGCTTCATCCAGCTCCGATTGAACGCCGTACACACCTACTCTGAACCCCAAACGCATGCCTTCAACACGCCTTATCAGCTCTCTATCGTGCCTCCCAGCGTAGCCGCTCGGATGGCAGCTTTTGGTGGCCAGAACCTATGCGACTTTCCCAAAGACGCCGACGTCACTCACCATGACCTCCGTCACGGTGATATCATCGTTTTCGCAACTGACGGTGTATGGGACAACCTGTTTAACCAGGACATCCTCCGTATTGTTAGCAATGTCATGACAACGACAGGCGCATGGCTCATGACGAAGAATGGTGTCCGCGTCGTCGACAATCTCAAGCCCTTTACAAAACCCGCTGAAGACGCCTCAGAGCGACCTTCCGCAAAGTTTCTTACCTTGCAGAGCGTGCTCGCGGCGGAAATCACGTCCGCCGCCAAGTCGGCGAGCCTAAACCGCAACGTTGACGGCCCCTTTGCCAAGGGAGTGCAGAAGTACTACCCGCAGGAGAACTGGCACGGCGGCAAGATCGACGATATTTGCGTTCTCGTCCTCATCGCGTCGGATGACTCCAAGGCCGCGGCCAAGAGTCGCCTTTAAGGCCGTCTTGTATCATTACCAACACTATTTGCCGTATCTGAAGCTCATTGCTGCTTTTTCCAATTCCTCAGAAACACCCCCCCCCCCTTTAGAAGCCCCAAAAAGGAGCGCCACCGCTGCATTTGTCCGTTGTATCGTTAATTTTCGACCGTCGCCAATTTCTCATTCGGTGACGCAGCAATGTTGTACAAAGGATCCTGAGCAATGTCTTATTTTCTCATACACACGCAATGAAGAGACGTCGAGAAGTCAGCAGTCAGTAAGTCAGTTATAGCAGTATACAAAAATACCACCCAAAATCGATGTCTGACCGTTTCATCGGACTCTACCTAAAAACCAATCTCTACTCGCCTTAATCCATTGCATCTTTCTCTGCTTGGATTTATGCTTCTCCACTGATTAACCTACACGTTTTGGCTCATGCGATCGGCAGGAACGGTCGAACGCGAAGTCCAATCGTCTTCCTTTTCCCCCCTTGTTTTCTCTTCTCCTTTGTCCTTGCTATGAAGCGGGGCGAGGCGCTGGGAACTTGCCGATCGCAGCTGTGGCTCTGCCTGGGCGGGTTTCTTGTTGCTTTTCTATAGTATCTTCCAATGGACGGAGCCCCTTTTTTTTTCTTTGAACTCCACGTCAGCTCTGGAGTATGCACCCTTTTCTCCTGTTTTTCTCCACGTGGGGTTAGTCTGCTGTATGAACCACTGATCTAGGTCGAAGAAGATACCGGATGAAACAGCTTTATTCTCTGGGGAAACCCAATGGACTGTGCTTAAAAAAACCTACCTAACCTTACATTGTGGATGAAGGGTAGAAAAGGCAACGAGTTTGGTGTGGACGGGCCCAGATCGATATTTTGTTGTTTCGTCTTTGACAGTGTGACGATAACTCGTAGTACGGATGCATAATGTTACATGCCCCTCATGCCAGACGCAGAGCACGTCCGCTTCCGAGTGGGATAGGCGCAGGTCGAGTGACACCACTTTGAGGTGCAGACGGAAATGTCACCTCACCGAGGACAAACGGTCATGCGATGCATGCAGCCTGAAGTGGTAATGTCCAGACGCGGGGTTGAGATGACCCAGGTCTCGCTATAGATTACAATCATAGGGAGCAGAAATAAAGATGTAGAAAGGCAACAGTGGGTTGAGTTGCTAATTGATTGTTTACAGACCCAAAGATTTCCGATAGGCCCCGACTAACACAATGTCTACTTCATCATCCCCTGTCCTTCGAGAGCTTTTTGCAACTCGACCCGCTTGCTTCATCTGAAATGCAACTCCTGGTCCTGTTCGTTCTTGGATCGCATTACTGTATTATAAACCTTGGTTCGCATCATATACCAGTCATTGGGCTGAGACAGCCCGAACATCCTCTCTAGCCACCAGCTTACTGGAAGTAGAGCATGGCAGCGACGGTAAGGCCGATCAGGGCAATGGGAGAGCCCATGCGGACAGCGTCACTGCCGGGAACGGTGGTGGGAGAGCTGGTGGAAGAGGTGGAAGCGCTGGTGCCTATTTAACGGGTTAGTCAGGGTTCTTATGCCTCAAGTAGATGGCGACGTACGGGTGCTGGCGCGGGTGCTGGTAGAGACAGTGGAGGCAGCAGTGGAGTTAGCAGCAGAAGAGGCCGAGCTGCTCGCAGCGGAGGCGGAGGAAGCAGAGGCGGAGGAGGTGATGGTGGAAGCAGCGACAGTGGTGGTGACGGTGGCGGAAGCAGAGGCGGAGGCGGAGGCAGAAGCCGAGGAGACAGAAGCGGAAGCAGTGACGGAAGTGGTCAGGGTGAACTGCTCAGAGTAGTTGGGAGTGCCAGTAGAGTCAGAGATCTCAATGGCGTACTGGTCGGTGGGAAGAGTGGAGGAAGGCGTCCAGGAGAAGGAGGTACCACTCTGGCCAGCTGAGATAGAAGTCAGTATCAGATGGCATCTCACCAGGGCTCGAGATGTACTTACTGGCGATGGTGGAGACGGTCTTGAGGTCGGTGCTGGGGCCGTTCTTCAGGGTGAGAGTGACGGGGCCAGAAGCATCAGACCAGGTGATCTCGAAAGCCTGACCAGCCTGGACGTTGAAGTTGGTGTTGGTAAGCTGAACAGCCTGGGCCATGGCAGCGAAGCCGGCGACGAGGACGGAGGTGAAGCTCTTCATTGTGACGGATTGGGTTGTTTTTCGAAAATTAAGTGATGAACGAGTGTAGGAGTATTAGGTATCGGACTACTGTAATTTAGCAAAAAAGGTCAACAACGAATGTCGGGAATAGGCTCGTGAGGAAACAAAAGGGAGAGAGGCAGGCAACGACGTGAGGGGGGGACAGCTGGGTAGAAAAAGGCTTCCTCGTCTCGCGCAGGCGCGAAATTAGGCGAAGTCGAATCAGGGGTAGAGCATGGAAGGGGGGCGTGTGCGGGTTCGGCGGAGAGGCAGGCAGGCATGCGACTTACATCAATACCTAGACGGGGCTTTTCCTATATTTACTCGCACGCGTTACTGTTGCTGGGGGTGTGCGGATGGATGGGTGGCTTTTGGCACAAAGTAGCACCAGAAGATCAGCAATTTGAATTCTGGGAGTGGTGTGGTTGTGATTCTTGGTTTTCTTCTTGTGCGCAGAGTGTTGGAGCCTTGGAGGAACTTATTTGTAGTGTGGACCGGGCAAGTTTGTTTGGATTGAGATGGTGATGGAATGGATGAAGAGTCAGGTGGGAAAAGATGGGCGCACTTGAGCTTAAGAGGAGGCAGGAGGTATCGAGGTTGAAACAGACAGGCGCGCGATCGAGCCTTCCTCTTTGCTATCTTCCAAAGTAGGTCCTCATGGCGACATCATAACAAGCACCCAACGCAGCAACAGCCGGGGACGAACAGCAACCGCGCGCACCTTGAGGCTTCTCGAGGGCGCCGCGGACGGCATCACGGCTCCCACTGGGTGCGCGGACTTACATACCTACCTTACCTTAGAGTAGGTACCTGACCTTACTTGTAAGGTAGAGTACCACAGGTAGGTACCTTACCTTGGTCCTTACACTGGTGTGGTAAGCGTTTTAAGGGTGGTATGGTACCTTAGCAGCTGAGGAAGTCGCAGGCTATTCGTCGCAAATGAGAAAAGGAAGCGACGACGACGAGCGGGGGGCGGGTACCTTCCCACCTCTTCCAGCAGCCCTGGCAACAGGAGTGGCACCAACTCCCAGATTGGACTAACGTGGAAAATTCTTGGAGGGTACCCCTGTCGCAGAGAGGAACCTGGCGAACCCCAGGAGAAGCGCTAACAAAGACCAAGCTTCAGTTTCTTGTCCTTTGGTTGTTTTTGGTACTGGCTGATGTCCGGCCTGACTTCTTTCTGCTTCTCCCAGTGGCCTCCTCTTCTGCCGTAAAATGCCACGACTGCGTGCAGCAGCTTCAGCTTACTAGTGTTGGTGTTCCAGGTTAGCTGCAAGTTTTACCTTTGCTCAATTCACCATACATCCGCACGCCGTCATCCGGTACTTTATATTCGACCTAAGGCAGATAAGGTACCTAGATAGCAACTCTAAGACGACCGTATGGTATTCTTACACAGTACCTGGAGTAGATTTCCTCCAAGCTTACTCCAAGGCGATGTACGATTTCTCAACTACGTGCAACCACTGGGCAGACCCCCGACGCAGCCGTCAACTCCCCTGGTACTCCTAGCTTATGTCCCCGGAGTCGCCCAAGGCTCCTTATTGGGCCCTTTTGGCTGGGGCAATGGAAGGATCACGACCATCTCGGGCAACAGCAGGGAAGTTGGAAGAGGTCTGGGCCTCAACGGTTCTCGCCTGGGAGTCTGGGACTCTGTCCTGGAACCCAGGGCAGTCACTGGCGTCAATTTGAACAATGCGCCCAGCAATGGCACAATCTTCCACATGCCATGCCATCTCGCTTCCCTGCTTTCCAGCCCACAACAGGTGACACCACGTTGGAGCCCGCTTGAACGGCCCAAGGCGCGAAGAGACCCCAAAAACCCCTCGGGCGGTCACTGACTCTCTCACCATCGGATGGGTACATACGCAATACAGGTCACACTACCCTTCATTGTACGTTCCGACAAGCGGTGGGTACATTCGTTCTGGTCCGGTAATGGGAAAAGGTTCCTGTCGATCTGGGTCTCTGGAGGCGCAGCAAGGGAGAGTGGTACGCAGTAGACGTCTCCATCTCGCACATTTCCAACGGCCGCCCTCCTCCGAAGCCCCTTCTTCGCATTGGAGTGATTCGCAGCGGACAACATGGCGAGGGCCCTTTTCGCCCCCCATGGGAATGTGCGAATGCTTCTGCTGCTGCTGCTGCTGCTGCTGCCGCTGACGCCCGGCTCAGCCTGCAATTGCGTGCGCAACCAACAGCATCCATCCCTCCACCCTCCCTTCCAGCTCGTGTTCCATTTCTCCAGGGCAAAACTTTACTTTCCGCGGACCAGTCACGAGCCGCCTGCGATCCCATCATCGATCCGAGTAGGCAATGACAGCTCAAGGCTCCCCCACCACACTATTGGAGGTGACGACGCCTATGGATGCTTGATGCTCGTGAAGGTGGCTTTTACGAGTGGTATATCCGTCGAGAAAACCTATGCAGAATGCTCTGCGCTTGTGCATTTGGAAGACTCGAAAATAGCATCGGCACTTACACACCTAGCCTTGATGTGTTGGGACACTTACGTCGTCAATCGTCCGAGATCTGTGCTTCATCTGCAGAGTAACATGCCTGTACGTTCCGTTTCACGCCTTGTTGTGTTCGGGTGGGAGCACCGACATGACTGACGCGCGAGACAGCAGATGAGCTGCTGTTGACATACTCAAGCGTGTCAAGTTCCTTTTCCTTTGGTTCACCAAGACACTACTCTGAAAATCAAGCAATACTGGTGTCCGTCCCGTTTCGCAAGGACAGTCAGACGCACATCAATCTGGAATGGGACAGTCCTCTAATACCGACCAGGACAGCCTACTGTGTAGAAGAAGTCATGGCAGGCTACGGATCGCCTGATGAGGATCTACCGAGGGCCTCTGGGGAAAAGATTTCACTCGCGCCTTCACCCGCTTGATCCGTGCCGCAAGTTGCCATCCGGCCCCATCGGTCCAAAGTGCAAAGTCTCACGGAGGAGCCAGGAGCATGCACATATTGCGTATATTACCGTCCCATTTGTCGACGCGCCTCGCTGAGTCGCTGCATCCCATCAAATCATCGCGCCAAAGCGGCAATCTCGCTCTCTTTCGGGTGACCGGGGAGCCTCCTCCAGAACGATGAATAAGATCCAACGACGTCAGGCTCGCCGCTCGCCTATGCCAATGGCGTTTTCCAGTTCCCAGTTCCCACCGAGTCCAATTTCCAATGCACACCCCGTTGGGTCCCGTTGTGGAGACCGACATTGGCCAAATCTCCCCAGCGTACGCTACTTCACGGCTTGCACGGTACCTGCATCCTGCGCAATGGTCCTTGCTTCTGGCCTCCAATCGACGGACTCGGACACTAACAGCTCTCGCCTGACGGCCCTGGCTCAGGACTCTCATTGGAACCCTGTCCATGCGTATGCGCCCTTCAGAGAGGCTCCACGCCCGACGACGGGAAGCCTGCAGCATCGACAGGGCATCGCCTGGTTCTGGCTATGTCGTCCGAACCCGTCAGCAAGTTTGCCAATTCCAAGTTGTCTATTTATCACGAAATGCAGCTCCTACAGAGCCATCGGCCCAAACTATCGGATACGGCAGCTCGCTGGATCCGGCAGCCTCTTAACCTCCGTTAGGAATACATGCAGGGGTCGCACCCTCGCTCTCTCCGTGATAGGCTTGGCTCTCTCCATGCTTTGCATATTATCCACCCAAGCCACTTACTCCGTACTTGGATCTCGCAGTAGGTAGGTATCTCAATCCTCAACCAGCCGTGCGATGACACTTCATGGCCATGCCATGCTTGGTTCTTGGCTGAAATGGAACAAGCCTGCTCGCTCAGGGGGCGTTTCACTCTGATACTCGACTGGAATGGAAGGGCACCAGAACCACGGAGTTTTCCTCGGCTTGACTCAGATGACGTAAGTATAACTCTCTGACGGCGATGGTGGGAATGCCGGCCTAGCAGCCATCAGTTCAGTTCAATACAATCATGCCGTTTCAGCTCATAGCTCGGTCAAAACATCAAATTCAGACTGGGGCGATGAATGTTCTGCAGCGCCACAGCCGCGTGCGTCAATCAATAGACGCGATACGTCTCGTTCGCTGAAAACGCTTACCAAGCCGTCAGTCTCGTAACTTGACCGAAGGAACAGTCTTCCATGAGAATTCACAGGCCCTTGAATGTTGAAAACCATGCCGCGAGCTGGATCGTCATAGTGTCTTGTGTTCCAAAAGGCTCACAAACCTACATCCATGTGATAGGTTGTTATCTTACATCAGCGCAAAGCCTCCTTTGCCTCAGCAGAAGACAACACTCGCGAACTCATGGCCATTGCCCGAGATGTATGCATATATGCTGTTGCGCCGGTCTATCAGTCGACACCATAGACCGGGATGAATGGCATGAATGGCCGTGGCGGTGGCAAACTCAGAAGAGAGGCCTCCTCTCCATGTGGTATGTAGCTTTGACTGGCATGATGTCTATTCACGAGGCGAGCCCAGAGTGCATCGAACGACACCTCGCCGAACACCCTCAGCCTCCTCCCTGACTTGAGTTACCGTTGCTCCTCTTCCCCTAGCCTTATCCACAAAATCATCGAGTGAACCTCCAACGCCAAAGTAAAGCCGCTTCGCCCCAACCAGCGCCTGCGACTGGCAGTTGCTACGTTGGCTCTGTTCTCTATTGAGGATGGCAAGGACCATCTCGTTGAAAGCGTCAAGTGCGAAGGGCGAGTAGATGGTTTCCGCTCCAATAAGAAGGGTATCGAAACTGCTGGACCCGTCCAGCTTGGACTGAGTCTCATAGAGAAGATCAACAAGCTCCACTGACCAGCCACCAGAAATGAAATTGAGAGAGATTTGGGAAGACGTCAGGAACTCCTTGAACTGCTGCAAGACCTCTGATGTGAGTTCGAGCTCGTCTCCCATCGCGAAGGCCTCCTCCAGGGCGGGGTTCTGGTCCCTGCGTTCCAGAGCCCAGGCGAGGATAAAGTTGGGCAACGTGACCAGTTGCAAGACTGTCGGGTTGTAGTCGGCCAGGGTCAGCAAAAGTGGCGATCTCGGCGCTGGATTCCTCATGGTCCATTGCAAAAGAGCGAGCGATGGAAGCCCTGTGCCGCATCCAAGCTGCGCATAGGTCGGTTAGCTTTCGGTTCGCCACTTGAGCCAGCAGTACATGAAAACTAAAAATAAGAATAAAAACGCGCGTCAGGTGTTCAGATGCTCGTACCTCGATCACTCGGAGAGGCCGTTGCTTGAGCAGGTCCAAGTATTGGCCACTGGCGAGAACCTTGACGAGGTCCACGCTGCTCTCCCAGCTCTTGAAACCGCCCTCGTAGACGCCCGTCTTGACATCGTGGCTGCCGAGGCCTTCGGCATCGGCACCGTCACCGGCGGCCTCATCCTCGGCCATGAGCTGCACTCGCACGTCCCAGAGCTCGCGACGAGGGATCTTGATGAGGCTACCGTCGTCCAGGGTGACGTCCAGGGTCCCGAAGGCGACCTTTGAGGGCAGCCTGGAGAGCATGTCCTGCAGGTCGTGGGCGGTGGGCGGCAGCTGGGGTTTGCCGGGCACCGGAAAGGCGCTGGCTGTTGCAGCGGACTGCGGGGTCTCGGGCTCCGGGGCGGGCGCGGAGGCCTCGGCGGCCGGGACGGGAACGGAGTCGTCTTCTATGTCATCGCCGCCGAATCCGAAGGAGAATGATGCCATATTTCTCTTCGAGGGTGGGAGATGCCGCGTGGATTTGCAGGGTTGTTGTACGTACCTTTCTGCAAAAGATGAGTGAGTTGAGTACACACGAAAGAGACTATGAAAATGTGGGGGCGCGGGTTCACTCACAGAGTCACACACACACAAACACAAAACGAAACGCAGTCTCTTATTGGAACCTCACCGAGGCAAGCTACCTTATCGGGTGTGTTTGTCGAATCGGAAAACCAACGACAACAGAGCTCTTACGCCACTCGAATGACTTGGTGGCTTGCAGAAGTGAAAAGTCTTCTGAGGCAGTGAGTCGATTAAGCTTGAACCAAGTTTGCGATGCTGGTGCCTGTCAGTAGCATGAGTTGGTATAGTCAGGAAGTAAACTGCTTAGATTGGACTCATAACGCACAAGGTTAGGTTCAAGCCGTCGCCACCAGCAAATCTCGGCCTTAGCAAAACGTCTTCCTGTTGCTCGCATATCCAAGGCGCCCAGAGAGTTGCCAGCTACTAATTGGCCGAGTCGACCACCAAGCCAATCGTCATCGGTGGCCAAGACTGGGGATGCTTGCTTTTTGTTTGCCAGAAGTTCTTCCCTATCGGCGCTTTATCATTCGAAGGCTCTTCTAATTCTGCACCAACGCCGCCCGCCGCATGTTTGGGCACTTGCTTGGTCGCAAAGAGACCAATAACCAGCAACTTCTCAGAGAGGCTCCATGCAGTGCGGCGACTAGGGAGGAGGCATCACGACTGGGCGATTGTCTCATATCTATGTACCTGTACAGAGCCACGGAGCCTCCCCTTCGGCCTTCGGATCTCGTGCTTACCAGCCCAACACCCATGCCCTGCTGGCTTCTGCGAAGGCGAGGGCGAGTGTGGAAAGCTGCAACTTTAATAGGCTGAGTGGCGTTCGGGAAAATGATCCGCAGCTGAGCCTATTCCTCCCACGTCTCTGACCGCATCTCTCGCGCATGCTCTCTGCTCTACCCTCTGCGCTTGCTCTTCACGTAAGGTTGATTGAAAAAAAAAAAAAAAAAAAAAAAAAGAAGAAGATGAAAAAAAAGCCGCAAGCTGAAGAGCCAGCGGCCGTTCATGGCACATGACGAACCTGCAAGCCGTGGCCGCAGTGGTTCATGGGCTCAGCTGCAGATGCCTGCCAGACAGACACGCATCTCTGCATCCTAAAGGCCCGGAGGATCTGGTACATCTCGAGCTTTGTGCTCCTTCAAATGAGATCTCGTGTCTCAGTGGTCAGCAAACGCGCGAGGATGCCGCCCCCTCCCGTCATCCCACCATCTCTACCATGCGGCGCCGAACATGCTCACGGCCGATCGACAATGGACCCGGCACTCGCGATTCCCTCTCTCGGCGATCCACTCTAATCAGGGCATCACACATCCCCTTTCTTCGGTTCTTCGTCAGCTGAGATGTCGTCAAGGAAATAATGAAGCTGATAGAACGGTCGGCAGCCAAAGCATCCTCAACCTCAGGACCGCATTGTCTTTGCCTCCAGGAAACGGCCGGGGTCAGGCCCCTACAATGGCATCTTCTCCATCCGTAGATACGCCCCGGTTTGCGCTCCATATCGCCCCCCGTCCGCGGCACTCACCACGATCCCGCTCCGGCTCCAAGCCTCCATCCTCCAGTGCGGCAAGAGTCGTGATTCGCCACTCACCGTACTTAGATCCATGCCATGAACACCCCTCAGCCCGGTTCTTCCCTCCTCCCGCCGTGGTTGGATGGTTTACGACCTGGTCCAGCCCAGGACCCTTTTCTTGCTAATCGGACCTTGCTTGACCGCAACGAGCTAGCAGACGTGCAGACAACCCATTTTGTTCAATTCTTCTGCCCATGGACCAGCCTTGTTCCAAAGTCATTTGGATACGTGCAGCCACACCATGTGCCGTTGCACCAGCCAAGATTGATAAACTGCCCGTCGTAAATCAACCAACAATGAGGCCCGGTGCAGACCCCTCCTAGGCTCCTACGACAGAATCCCCAATTGAGAGGACCCATGCCCATTGGCGCCTCTCTGTCCGTAGAGTCCACCGTTTTGTTTCATGTGAGCTGTCTCCTTTTCATCGTCAAAGTCTATGTAGGTATGCCTCTTGACAAGAAAGCTGTGCTGCGTCAGCTCGTAGTTTCCACACTAAGGTGGTGCGGTTTTTGGTGTTAGTCGCGGAGGCATGGTAGATTTCACCTCGGACTATGCTGCCTGTCACTGACAAGGACAACGTCTTTTGAATCCCGCTCCAGCGGGTTCACTCGTTGCTTCTTCCTCTCTGGCGCTTTCCGGGTTGTCTCATCCCATTCTGCCATGGTAGAGGCTCCTTTGCAATTATTGGCTAGTCTCCGTGACAGGCCGCCGCGCTACACTTGCCAAAAGTCCACAGTCACCCGCCCGCATCCTCTCTTTAAACCGTATCTCCACCAAGCGAGCAGGAGAAAGGCGCTTGTTCGGAAAGAGATTCCTTGCAGCCACTCGCTGGCGCCTTCCTCGGGACTCAACACCCCTTGGCAACTTCAACTCAGATATAAACCGGTCTCTTCTTCCTCTCTATTCTGTGCCTAGGTAGCTCTACAGGCACGCAAACCAGCAACTTTCACAATGACACGGCAACTCCCTCAACTATCTCGTCATGTCGACGCCCAGGGTAGCGGATCCAGTCAACCTATTCGCACCAATACCGCCTACACTGTGAAGGAAGCGCCGTTCGGGACTCCGCAGCCCATTCGCATTGTCGGGATCGGCGCCGGTGCAAGCGGCATCAACCTGATACGCACCCTGAGAAACACTCTCGGTCCCTCGACGTACGAGCTTATGGTCTACGAGAAGAACGAGAATGTCGGGGGTACCTGGTTCGAGAACCGGTACCCTGGGTGCAAGTGCGACGTGCCTAGCCACAACTACCAGTTCAGCTGGAGACCGAATCCGGCCTGGTCGAGCTTCTTTGCCCCCGCGGCAGAGATTGAGGACTACCTTTGCCAAATATGTGACGATGAGAAGCTGCGGCCCTTTATCAAGACTTCGCATCAGATCATCGGGGCGGCTTGGTCGGAGTCCAAGGCAGTGTGGGAGTTGCAGATCAAGAACTTGGGGACTGGCGCCGTCTTTGAAGATTACGCCAACTATTTTATTGACGCAACTGGTATCTTGAAGTACGTACATTGCCATTGCAGTTATGTATTATATCGACATCTGACTTGCCTAGTAAATGGAGATTCCCGGACGTGGAAGACATCGCGCTATTCGAGGGTACCCTTATTCACAGCGCAAATTGGCCCAAGGACTTTGACTATACAAACAAGAAGGTAGCAGTCATTGGAAATGGTGCGTCCGGTGTCCAGATCGTTCCAGCAATGAGACCACGTGAGTATATCCCACCCCTCCCATGGCGATGCAGCCAGCTCACAGCAAGCAGATGTCAAGAAGCTACACCACATCATCCGGACATCCACCTTGATTATCCCTCCTCGAGTTGCCACAATGAAAATGGGACCTTCAGCAGCTCTCCTCGACCAAATCGAGATGGACGAGAACGAGAGATTCTCAGCGGCGACGATTGAAAAGTTCAAAAACGATCCGGCCTTCTACAACAAGTTTACAAAGACTCTCGAGATGGACTCCAACATCAAGTTCGCCATCTCTCTCATTGCTGGAAGCCCTCAACAGGCTTGGGCGCTGGGAAAAACCAAGGAATTCATGACGGCGATGCTCAAGGGAAATGAGAAGCTCTGCAAGCAGCTGATACCCGACTTTCCCCTCGGGTGTAAGCGACTCACTCCCGCCCCTGGATATCTCGAATCGTTTCACGATCCCCGAGTCTCGCTTCACACCGATGCCATCAAGAGGTTTGTGCCGCAAGGCATAGAACTGGCCACTGGGGAGATCCTCGAAGTCGACGTTGTCGTCTGTGCCACTGGCTTCGACTCATCGTTCCTCCCCTCGTTCCCGTTAGTCGGTCGACACGGCAACTTACAGGACATCTGGTCCGAGCAAACTCCTAGAGCATACATGTCCCTTGCTGTTGCAGGTCTGCCAAACTTCTTCAGTAAGTCGGAATTCTCTTGCGCTTACCGCTTCGAAGCTAACCATCCTCCTCGCTGTAGAGTTCCTGGGGCCCAATGCGCCTGTTGTGCAGGGTGACGTCTTTACGCTTAGCGAGCACATTGCCACTTACATCGCCAATACTATCCTCAAATGCCAGACAGAAGGCGTGCGGACTATCGCCCCGTCTGAAGCGGCCGTGGAGGACTATTTTGAGCACATCTCAGCCATCATGCCTCGCACAGTCTTTGCGGGCGGATGCAGATCTTGGTATAAGCAAGGCGAGGTCAACGGCCCTGTAACAGGTCTGTATCCCGGGAGCCGTATGCACTTCATCCGCTTGCTGGAGCGATTTAGGGGCGAGGACTGGGAGTACACGTATGAGAATGCGAAGCAGAACCGATTCGCATACTTGGGCAATGGGTTCACAGCGCCAGAGATGGCGATGCTCAAGGCTGGACCGCCGCCTTCCTGATAATGGCGTAGGGGGCTGCGGGGACCAACATTGCCTTGTACATAGACAGGGATAGACGGCTGGACCTTGTACTCTTTCTGGGTGGTTTGCAGGCGTTGATTTCTGGGAAGGGTCTAGTTCTAGGCATGACGGATGATGAAGTCCGATTTGAGTGTTTGACGATTCAAGCGAGTCTAATACCAGAATGGCGTGTGACACACCACACAGACAGGAATCACACGTCAGCTTTTTGACACCATTATTGCTTTTCTCTGTTGCCCAGACTTGGTGCCTGGGGCTCTAGTCGTCAAGTGAGAGCCCTTTTTTCTCCTTAAGTCGGAGGAGCCGCGGCCTGCGGGAGTCATCCAATGTCTCGGATGCTGAGCCACTGAGTGGTTGTGTCCAGGCAACTTGGCGCGGCGCACCCGAGTGTTGGTTACGTTGCTGGGTGGCCCCGTGAACCAACTTACCAGTTTTCCCCTGGTCCAGCTGTGTAATTCCTGTTCGTGCGGAGTTTCTGCGGGAGATGCGAGGGCTCGACCGGCTAATTGGTAATGGCGCTGTTTTGGGTCGTTGGGAGCAAGTCTTGATTGCGCTGGTGTTGTCTTAATGTGAGGTATGGCTTGTACCGGCCCAAATAGGTAATATGAATGCCTGTTGGCTCCAGTGCATGTAACTTGAAGGTTGGGTTGAAGTTGCTTAGACGAAGCAGTTTATCTTTGGCTTGATGGAAATGGAACATGATCTCCGCCTCAAGGAACGAGTACCATCGAAAGGACGGTAATACTAGTCCATGAGCCTCCAGTGGCTTGCCTTGCAACTGAAGATTTACTTGGCTGGAGATAATGGAATGCTGCACGTAGAATGAAGGCAAGTGATTCAAGACTATTGCTGAACGAGTTACGCTCTCATACGGCATTATACTGGAGCCGAGTAACTAGGATGGCTTCGAGTGAATTTAATGGTTTAATGTAGACTATTGACAACTCCGTCATCTCGAAACCTTGCAGCTGAGATGCTGGGGAGTAGAGTCTTTGGCTTTGGAGAAAGAGTATCATCAAAAGGGCGATAGTCTATCTTGCAACCGAGACATCTACCCATTATGTCAGTGTTATACCGAAGGAAGTTGATGGAGATTGGATCTCAGACTCTGAAGGCGTATATATGCAGCTCTTCAACCGGTTTCTTCGAGGCATGCTCACATTTTCCTCCTCCTGAAGGGTAATTTTAGGATTGCATCCTCACCCGTCGGGGATCCTGTACAAAATTCAGTGTAGACACGCCAGTTGTCTAGTGTGAGTTGACATCGAGGAATAGTCTCGGCTGTTATTATCGGTTCCGCCAGACTTAGTGGCATGAGTGACTTTGTGGACTCTAGTGTCCTTCTTTCATGGAAACTGGACTCCATTAAATCTCGACTGGTTGACTATAGCCTCCGAACCTATCCCTCAATGACGAATAGGGCGAAACGGTGAGCCGAAGAGCAACCAGCTTAGCCTTTTACATAGTCCAAACTTCCCAGTTCATGTACAGTACTTTCACAAGCCTTTTTCGTCTACTTGAAAAGTAAAATTCCAGCCGGGTTGATGGTTCTGCATGAGAAATGGTTGGTTGGCACGTAGTCTGTTGGTTCAAGTCGATCATCATAGCGCCACCCCGTTTAGTGGCCCGACCCGCTCCATACGGCCGGCGCTTAGAATCATGCACCAACCAATTCCGAGTCTCATCTTTCTCTTGTCTTCTGACTCCTACAGATATCTGATTACATATCTTTCACCCCATTTCTCGATTTGGTGGCGCTTCTCACGAATGCCTTCTCAATGAGATTGTCAAGCAGCATCAACACTTGCTTCCCGGATCTCGTTCGTAGTCCATCTTATTCTGCCTTCGGTCACGTATGTTGGGAATATGCTGTGCCCCTCCGTTTCAACCAGGGTCTGCAGGAGGGCAGACTGACAATTGCTGCGCGAACGTGACAGTCGCTATTAAGCCTGCCAACTGAGGCGCACATTTGACCACTCCATCGGGTTGCCACAGGTTCTCAGGTTTGCTGCGTCTGGTTACAACCTTACCTAGACAAGTTAACTGCAGTAGTGGTCAGCCGATGAAATATGCATGTCGGAAAGTCGGTGTTGGCAGCCAGGATGAGAGTTCGCAGGCCTATTGGTGTGTATGCGGCCGTGTCTGCTCCATATCCTGGCGAGTGCTGGGCGCTTAGCATGCATAATGCATCGGGGCGGATTCCAAAGAAGGCCCCTCTCGTGGGCTTGATCTTCGGGCAAGTATCTGCACTGCCCAGATGTTGGTTGAGCGGATTCATTGAAGAAGTGCCACTGTCCCTCACCTTGGTTCCCTGTTGAATGCGCAAGTTTTGCATTTGCCTGGCTCGAAAGCCGGGAATCGCTATCCTTATGAACCTATTCACTATTTCTTATATGGACTTCGTTGTTTCACTCTTGATCGTACAATGCTTGGGTTTTTGTTCTAGATCGTCGCAAGATGAGCCAAGATGAGCCAATCTATCTTTTGTCCTTGGGTATGTTGCTCCTTGGCCATTTGGGAGGCCTTATCTAACACAAGGCAGACGGTGGAGGCATCAGAGGGATATCAGAACTCGTCATACTACACGAGATTATGAAGCGGCTACAGAAGGTGGCAGGACTCAGAGAATTACCCAAGCCTCAGGACTATTTCCATTTGATGGGTGGCACAAGTACTGGGGGGTTAGTTGGTCTTTCCAATACACCGTGTTGCAAAGGTCCGCTAACAGCAGATCGTTGGAAAGACTAATTGCCATCATGTTAGGTCGCATGGGTATGTCGACTGAGGAAGCCATCAACGCATACGAAAGTTTTGCAAAGGACGTTTTTCGAAAGAAGAACCGCAGGCGGTGGTGGAACAGAACTTATAAAGAGGAAACACTCGTTAAGATCATACAAGACAATGTAACCAAGAAGAAGCTCGCAAAGACCACGATGCTCGACGACACGAGGGAAAGGGGGCTCGCTTTTGTCTGCGCAGCCACATATGACGCCTACGAAGCCTACCTCTTCCGAACGTACAAAGGGAGCAGCAACTGCGCTCACAATGCGGAAATTTGGGAGGCGGCAAGGGCAACATCAGCGGCACCGACATTTTTCCACCCAATCTCCATCGAAGTCGAGGCGGAGAGGGACCAGTACGTCGACGGTGCCGTGACCTGCAACAACCCGGCTCGCCTTGTGTTGAGTGAAGCCGAGTCCTACTTCGGTCCGAGGAGGACGTTGGGCTTTCTTCTCAGCTTGGGCACCGGACTGAAAGTCTCCGATAAAAAAGTCAATGTAGTCCCTCAAGGGCAGCTTGTAGATCGTCCAGTCGTGGCCAGGCAAGGCAGCGGCGCACTCTTCTCAAGAGGCACGATAAAGATTCTCAAGCATGCCAAAGCATCGCTGACTGATTCCGAGCCTGAGCACCAAGCCCTAGAGCAACGGTTCCAGAAAACACACTACGCATATTGGCGGTTGAATTTGGACCGGGGTGCTGCAGATATCAAGCTGAATGAATATAAGAAAATGGGGCTGTTGCGGGCGGCAACGGAGAGGTACTTACAAGACATTGAAGTCTCTACCAACATCGACAAGATCGTCAGCATGTTGCACAAGAAGGAGGGCGTCGACCTATCTCTTGATGCCGCATGTAAGTATTCTCACCAAGCTACTCTGCTAAGTGACTGACTCGCAGTAGGTCATGCAGTTTCTGACGCAGCCTCGAAGCAAGCCCTTCAGCAAGAGGTTCAGATCAACAGTATTGCAAGCCCGCAATTCACTGGCAGATTAGACATACTCAACAAGATGGAACGACACTTTTACGAACGCCCTTCCGGATCGTCGCCTAGAAGACACCTCCGAATTTGGGGCATGGGAGGAGTCGGGAAGACGCAGATTGTCCTCAGATTTAGAGACTTGTACGGGTCGAGGTAGGTGGCACGACGTTCATCTCAACCCATAGTTTTCTTACTAAGTCCGCGTATTTCAGATTTGATCGGGTGTTTTGGATTAACGCCGCCACGCAAGATTCTATCTTTGAGAGCTTCAGATTGTTAACAGCTGAGATTTTTGACGAAGAAGCTAGCAGGCCTAGCATCAAGAGAGTCCAGAATTGGTTGGCGCAAAATCAAACTGAAGAGTGGCTTCTTGTCTTCGACAACAACGACACAATCGACGTGAGCAACTATCTCCCTCCGGGAAACACTGGAAATATCCTTTTCACCAGCAGACGGAAAGACATGTCACCAACTTTAGACGCCGATCAGACATTCCCGGTCGATATTATGGATGCAGAGGATGCAATCACCCTATTCCTTCGCGCCTCAAAAAGACAAAACACAAGTTTCGGAGATGATGAAGACAGACACGGAAGAGCAATCGTTCATGAGCTTGGATATCTCCCGTTGGCCATCGATCAGGCCGGTTCCTATATTTATAACCAGGAGTGTTCATTCGAAAAGTATCTCGTCACTTTCCGAAAACGCCGAAAAGATATTTTAGGGGACCCTTTGTACCCGGGAGTCTTCAGGTCCAATCCCGCTGTTTACGGTACATTTGAGCTCTCGTATGTGGCATTGGAAGAGCAGTCACGAAACAACGATGCCCTAGGCCGGGCTGCCTTGAATGCCCTTCGCATTCTCAACATCTTCTGCTTCTACCACAACGAGAATATAACAACATATATTCTCAGTCGAGCAGCCGTCAACGCAAGGCTGGACACCACTTTCATAAGGGGCGAAGAGGGCAGCATTGCGCCACTTCCATTGATAGACCTTACGGAAGAAGGTGACTGGGATTCGACGAACTTCACCAACGGGGTTGCTACCTTGAGAAGTTACTCTTTGATCAAGAAGTCTCTCATGAACGAGGAATGGTACTCTATGCATGTTTTGGTGCATTCTTGGGCTAGAGACCGAATGAAGCCGGAAGTACTGGTCTTCCAACGCAGAGCAGCCCGCGAGGTTCTCTTCTTTTCCGTCGCGAGAAGCAAACGCCTCATTGAAGAGCTCTTTGCCAGCCAAGTGCTGCCACATTTGCAGACATGTCTCGACCACGGTGGCCCGGAGCATATTGAATGGATGAGACGCACAGAGCAGGAAGGTAAGTTCGCGCAAACGCTTGCGCACCTGGGCCTTTGGGACAAGGCCACTGCAGTCTGCGAACAGATCGTTGCCGAAAGGCAAGAAAAAATGGACCACAAGGATATGGGACATATAGCAGGCTTGTGGGATTTGGCTAGAATGTATCGTCATTCTGGCAGGCTACGAGAGTCTGAGAGTGTTTATTTTGCGATCTCATTACTCACTGAAGAATGCCCTGAGGGATCCGAAGCCAGGAAGCGGCATTTCAGCATCGTATTCGACTGGATAGAGGTGCTTCTTATCCAAGCAAGATACTTGCAAGTCAGAACATTCCTAGAAATCATGATGGAAGTGGTGGAGCCATGGGGCTGGGGATCAAGATGGTACCGCTCCGGCTTCGCAGCGCTAGCAACTCTCCTTCGAATGGAGGGCGACTCGGAGACGGCTCTCGCCATGGAGATCGAAATATATAACTACTTCATCGCCAAGATCGAACCGGGTCACCGCAAGATGATGGCCTCAATGAACAACCTTGCAGCGCTGCAATCGGACTTGGGGATGCATGATGTGGCGTACCAACTCTGGCGTCATTTCCTGAGCAATCAAGAACGCGCGAGAGGCAAGGAGAACCCCATGACCCTGCAGGCGAAGCGAAACGTCGCCATGGGTTGTGCGAATCTGAACAGGCTTGAGGAGGCAGAGGAAATCTTACGCGAGGTTCTGGAGGTGAGCGAGAGGGTTCTTTGGAGGACGCACCTTGATACGCTGGCAACGATGGATCAGCTAGCGGGTGTATTGGCTCGGCGCAATGAGGTGGAGGAGGCCATTCGGCTTTGGGAGGAGTGCCTCGAGAGTTGGGCGGGCAATCTTGACGATCAGCATCCTCTCATAATGAGGACGACGCGCGTGATGAAGAGAATAAGAGATGATGATGCGGGCCTCGTGCAAGAGGATTTCCAGCCGGGTGGAATCATGCGCACTGAGGGACCCGAATTTGTATTTCATGAGGACGAGCGGTCATCAACCACACCTATACTCAAAGCGATCGCTGCTAAGAGTTTACTGTCGAGGAGAGAGGGCAATGCGAAATCAGGGCCATAGAACTTAGCCACTACGTTCTGAGGCGATGTGCTACTTGGCTGGCAACTTGGCACCCTTGGGTAGACTGCAGGGGCGTCTTTGTGCGTATTTGTAAAGCACCTTCGTTGAATTGAATGGCTCACCTCTATATCAAAACCAGGTCATCTCAGTGCCTACTTTATGGCCAACTGTGCAGATAATGATAATGCACATCGTTCCACGGGTACCAATCGCTATTGAGCTTTATCATCTTGAGATTTATCTCGATATCTTGGTGTGATGGAGTAACAGCCCCTACATCAATGGCCACAGAAAACTTGGTCAGTGCTTACATATCTAGGTACATAAAGACCTGTAGGAATTCTTGCATATGCAATAACCAGTTGGTCCAGAGTACCGTGTGCACTGGCCGCTTTGAGCACTGTATGGATCACCTCAATGGTATTGCAGTGGAAAATGGTGATTTGCATGACGAAATACTTCAACACCATTCGCTAGCATCTCAAATAAACAGCAACGAGTTGACCATAGTCTATTGACCTGAAAGCTCAAGAGCTGACTCGAGATCCAGTATTATTAATAGGATCAGCTTCGCAATTCCCTTCTCACTCAAGTGTCGCAGCCTCCAACCCGACGCTACCCATCACCGCCAACACAGCACCTATGCGATCTGCCTCGATTCTGAGGATGGCCTCGGCCTCCGTCTCAAAGGGCAACGGCCTGAGGCCCGCGCCGATGGCCCTCTTGCCCCCTATCCCGCTATACCGTCGTCTTCTGCGCGCACACCGCAAACACCTTCCTTCCGAGATGCGGGTGCTAGGTGACGAGTACATCAAGGCTGAGTTTCGCGCTCATCGCACGGTGGATAACCCGGCGCACCTGGTACGTTTCTTGCCTGCTGTTTCGCAGCGGGGATCCCCGTCTTTCAACTCACGGGCATTTGTCCACACGCGTTTGCTTGATCATTTGTATCCTCAAGTACATGTCTACAACCGAGGTCAATGTCTTGTCTGAGTCTGAGTCCTGATCGTCGTCAATATCGTTCCATCTCAACGTTGAGTCCGTTGACAAGCACGAAACTACTATCATGAAGAATTAAAGGCTGATTAATGATTTCTTTGTAATATGCTAGATCGGTTTCTTGACTGAATGGCAATTGTATGCGCAAAAAATTGAGGGCAACTCATGGGTTGGCGAGAAGATTGACCCTGTCAAGGTTGCCAAGATGAGTGGTGAGTTTCTCTTCAATAATATCTTCCGTGCCTTCATGACGGCCAAAGACTCATTCTACCGCTAGACGAGCAAATCGGTCAGCTGTATGAGCTGATGCAGGCGATCAAAGAACGGCGTGAGCCAGGAGAAGGCGAGGATCAGTCATGATATCGCTACCTTGATGAAGGAAAACGCACTCAAAGTCAATGATGCGAGAGGCACGGCTTGTGTGCTTGTGTATTAACAACTATGTACATTTACACGAAGTAGAGAGAAAATGCTTGGTCGGCGTTCAGTCTCTGCAACGTATAGTAGACTGCTGCTTGTGTGGTAATCATGGACAAGAGCCAAGAAGTCAGACTTTGCGCATCGTCATCGTCGTCTTTCAGTGCCCCTCAAATGCCTCGACAATCCAGTCGGCTTGGATGATGCTTACTTTCTTGGCATAATTCTTCTGCGTGAAGACATGCTCAAGGAACATGATGGCCTCCTTCTTCTGTCCGTGTAGCACGCTAGACGGGTGAATGGCCACAACATGCTTGCCTTGTGACGTGACGTAGCTCGCATCTGGTGCCAATATGGCTGTCTTGGACACGAAGCCGCGGAGGAAACACTTGAGCAGAGCTTCGGCCTGTTCCGGAGCCAGAGGAGTAAAGGGCTGGGGGTCAGGCGGTGGAGCCTCTGTGAGGAGACCTTCTTTGAGACAGAGGCTGCGTAGTTGTCTGCGGATGTTGAGCGCAGTCTTCATGTTGCGAATGTTGACCTTTCTCTGCTTGCACCACTGTATACGATCGGCGTTCTCGGCGGCGTATTGTTGCATTGTGGTAAGATATGTTAGGATGTCGCCTTCCCGGCGGTAGAGCTCCTTGCGAAGTTCTTCAATTTCTTCGCGTTGTTCTTCCGACTGTAGCTGATGGAAGATGTCGTCGCCAGACGTGATGCAGGAGATGACGTCTATCGTCTCTAGGACGCAGTCAAATTCTGGCTTGGCGGAGGCAAGCAGGACTGCACCAAACGCCGCAGAGATGGGAAATCCGGCCATCTTGCGGCCTGCCTCAGTGATCGTGCCGTCGTCTGCCAAAGCACCTAGTCCATGAAGGCTGACTAGTGCTCGTTCGATGGCTTCCACATCCGGGGTGTCCATAAGGGGAAACCCAAGAATGTCATCAATACCTCGCGCTTTCATCGTCAAGACAGCTCCCAGAACATCAATCCTGAGAATCTCTGGCAAGTCTGTTTCCTCGAGTGTGCTAAATGTACCTTCAGTGTATAGCCTGAAGCACTTGCCAGGGCCTTCACGACCAGCACGGCCTGTTCGCTGGATAGCGGAAGACCTGGAGATAGGTTTTGCTAGTAATGATTCCATACCGAGGCGAGCGCGGAATTGCTTAACCTTGGCCTTGCCGCCGTCCACCACGTAACGTACACCGGGTACGGTGACGGACGTCTCAGCAATATTGGTAGCCAGCACAATTTTCCGCGTGAAACCTCCCTTGACAGGCTGGAAAGCTGCGTGTTGTCCTTCCATTGAAAGCTGGCCGTACAAGGGTAGAACCTTGATCTTGGGAACGTTGGAGGCTAACGTTGCGGCGTACTCCTCGAGGAGCGACTGCGTGGATTCGATTTCCTCTTGTCCGGTCAGGAAAGCAAGAATGTCGCCAGGAAGCGGCTCTTCCATGTGGATTTTGAAAATCGTCTTCAACAAAGATTCCTGGATATCCGGCACCGGTTGGGGAGTATGTATCGTCTTGACCGGGTACTGCCGGCCCTGGATTTTCAGTACTCCAACAGAGTTGCTTTTCTTGTTGACCAAGTCGTCACTACCGCTTTTTCCCTCAGGGCCATGCACAGAGAAGAAACTTTGAATCCGCTCAACATCGGCTGTGGCACTCATGATAATGACCTTCAGTGGTATGCCGCCGCGGCCTTTCCGGCTACCAAGTAGGATTTGCTTTAGGAATCCGGAAACCAGATCCACGTCAACACTTCTCTCGTGTATTTCGTCGACGACCACGGCGCTATATTGCTTCAAATCTGGATCTCTTAGAAGCTCTTGAAGAAGCATACCTTCGGTGAGGAACTTGATCTTCGTGCCCTTTGGGACCTGGTGATCGAAACGAACTGAGTATCCAACTAGTCCGTCGCGGCTCTCACCGAGAGGCGTCCCTGCTTCGCGGGAAACTCGATGCGCCAAAGTCGTGGCGGCAACTCGACGTGGTTGAGTGACTGCAATCATGCCACCAACACTGACTTCTCTTGCCTCTGGGATACTGACAGTTTGTCTCCTACACCACGGCTCCCTGACCAAAAACTGAGGTACCTGAGTACTTTTTCCGGAACCAGTTTCTCCAACAAGAAGGAGTACATCATCTTGGCGTACAAGAGCTTGTATCTCCTCCCGGTGTGCCCAGATGGGTAACTTCTGCCTGATCTTCAATAAGGCAGGATCTTCTCTCCATCTCGGGCCTCTTTTGTCAAATTTTGGCCTGTCTCGATCCTGGGATGTTTTCGACGAATGCCTGATGAAGGTCGGAGCTGTTTGGTGCGAATCCTTTGAATCTTTGACTAATGCGTCTGACGTGGCATCATTTTCTGTATCCTGAACAGACCGCAGCTCTTCTGATGGACGTTGCTGAACTTCTGCTTCTTTTTTCTTTGCTGGGGGGTTGAGATATCCCTCGAGAGAAATGACTTTGTTGCCAACCTTGATAGTATTCTTGCTGTCAAGCTTCCTCTTTTTGGGGGCGCGTTCAGCGTCCAGTACAGATGACATGTTGAGTGCTGCTGACAGAATTTGCGATGTGATGTATAGTCAGCGGATAAGGAAGAAACGGGCGGGAGACATGAAGAAATTTATGGGGAGACCACTGGGTTTGGGTTCGCACCTGGTGAGTTTCCGTTCAGACATCTACCCCGTATTTGCACAGGGCACCTGGGATATGCACATAGGTAGGTACCTGGCCGCCTCATCACCATGGCCGCAACGTCTCCTCCAGAGCCTCTTCTTAAATAGGATAGTTGAAATGAGAAAATTAGCAGAAATCCGTTAAATACATAAGGGATGGTAGCCTGTAGTTGATTCTCAATTGGCGAAATAAATACTCCCGTCAAGTCGCCAAACTGTAACTGACTTTGCCCGTGTACATCATGCTGGTCAGACGCCCAGCCTCGAAAATACTGTGTCCCAATTGCAAATTGCGTCACTTTGGTCGCTTTCAAGTTTTTCCCCTCACTCGTACTGATACAAATCGCTTGCTTGCTCGCGCCTTCTCATATAGTAAGGCTAGCCTGACGACATTCTCTCGTCGACATACGATCTTCAGTCAAACAATGACGGACCGCTACAAGCTCATTTACACCGTGCCAGGTTCGGTCTGCTTAATATTATCGAACAGAAACTAAAGCATGCTGACTTCGTCCTGTGGCATTCCAACAGCTTCCCACTTGGTCGCTACCAAAGACGCCATCTTCGAAACGGGTGCCGGTGTCTATGACCAGGGCAAGTATGTTCAAGTGGCCTTCGAACTTACCGGCCAAGGCCAATTCAGGCCCGTAGCGGCAGCTGGGGCAGACCCTCACACAGGCGCAGTGGACCAACTTGAGCGAGTCCTAGAGTATCGAGTCGAAATCCTATGCTCTGACAGAAATGTTGCGAAAGCCGCTGTGGCAGCTCTCAAAAGGTATCAAGTTTATACTTCAAGCTTCTTCTTGTTTTCGATTGACAATATGCTCTCTGTAGCGCACACCCTTACGAAACCCCGGCCTATGAAGTTTACAAATTGGAGAACATTTAGTAAACGACCCTGCTCTTCTTTATGTTCGTTGTGGGCATTTTCACGAAGAGGATAGTCGGTGGAATTGGCTCCCGACCGTTCACCTGATGCGATTCAGACGCTCTCTGTTCATCCTGACTCCGTCGTCCACAGCATCGCTCTGGGAAATGTGACTTAGCATCGACACCAAACAAGAATAGAATGTGGTGGTTGACTCACCTTTTTGGCAATGTTGTCGATGAGAACATTCTGTTCATCGATCTCTTTTCCTAGAGCGCGGGCTGCCAAGCCAAAACGCGCAGCGGAGCCGGAAATAGCGTTGATATTGTCATCGATCGTCCTCTCTGCCTCGTCTTCCTCGGCATTTTCTTCATCATCACTACCAGGTAATTTGTATCGGTCCTTCCCTGCTGGCTTGCGTTGCTCCGCCCCCTTTTGAGGACGACCGGACAACGACATCTCCCTAAAGGTATCTTCCATTCGCTGATTGGACTTGAAAGCCTCGTGTCTGGTTGTCTCGCGAATTTCGCGCTCTTGGCGGTGTCGGTCGAGAATCGCCGCATCTCGTTCTGCCGCACGCTTCTTAGATGTGAATGGGTTGGCGATGTGAACTGCAAACATGCTTCCGTTGGCGGTCTTCAGCTCCTTGGCACCCTCTTCCGCCTTCTTGTTGTGGTTTGCCGCTATATCCATGTTCCTTTCTGTGTTGTGCAGACGCTCGCCTTGAGCAGCAAGGCGGGCGAGTGTCGCATTGGCTACGTCTTCAATATTGCTCGCATTCTGACGCATTCTTTGGGTGGTCTGAACGGAATCATTTCTGACCTCCTTGATTTGAGCCTTAGTCGCGCGGTATTCCTCCGCCTCTTGCTCTTCGGCTGTGAGCTCACGAGGGGCTCCATACCCACCGTATCCCCCATCAGCGCCAGACGGAGTCGATTGGCCGTACCCTCCAGCCTGCGGCTTGTTCTGCTGATATCTGTCTTGAGCCCCGCTGAAAAGCTCATCGCGCACAGCATCGGTGCTGTCACTGTTGGTTCGGCCCAAACCTCCGTAGCCCCCTGGTCCGCGAGCTCCACCATTAGCACCCGATCGCTGATTTGCGCCATAGGCGTTTTGGTTATCGTCGTAGCGATTCGCCCCGTATCCTCCTGCGGCGCCGTACTTTTCGTTCCCGTAGCCACCGGCAGGCTGTGGCGGGGCACCGTACCCAGCACCGCCCCGAGGGCCGCCAGGAAGGCCACCAGGGGCACCGCCATTAATGGGCGCACCGACTCGTGCTCGTTGATAGGGCGTCATGCCGGCGTACTTATTCGCGTCCTGGGCGTAGGGATCGCCGCCAGCCGGAGCTTGTGCGTAGGGGTTGTCGTTGCCCGGAGCAGGAGACTTGCTCTTTCGGCCGAAGAGAGCGGAGCGATTGGCATCGTCGCCTTCGTCGCCGCCTTTCTTGCCGAAGCCGAACTTCTTCATGGTGAGGAGCGATATAGTGGAAAACTTAGGTTTCGTCGAGGTATGGTGAATGTGGTTGTACAATTGAATTTGTTCTAGAAGGAAGCAAAACACAACGTGCCGCTGAAGGTTTGTCTAAGGAAACAGAACGTAAGGTAAAGAAAATGTATAAAAATAAGGAGAAGTCAGGTCGTGGAGGGACAGCACGGTAGATGGCTAGATGCAGGAGGTACGAGCAAGGGACGGGCGCCCAGCGGGGACCTAGCGGGGTTGGACAAGGGGCGTCCAGTAGCAGCTTAATGTGGCAAAATCGGGCCCGTCTTGGGTGTGTTTCGAAGGCGAACGGAAGTGCCCCCCTCAGGCTTCAGGGTCTAAGCCATAAAACATTCGTCAGGCTTCTAATGGTTTGGACCTGACTTGGGGAATTGGGCTTGGGCCAGCGACGACCCGAAGCGCAACGAATCAAATATGCAAACTGCCTGGGTCAGGCCTGGGTTCAGTGTTGCGGGCTGCGGCAATGGAGAAGACGTTATCCTGCTCAAGTCATCGGGGCCGTTCGAGATGACAGGGAATGTTAGCTACCCAGGTACTCCGTACCGACATATGAGTTGGGGTACGGATCTCCGTACACGCTCCGTTGACAATCAGATTATGGCGCAAGGAGCGGGCTATACAATGGTGGTGGTCATCATCAGCCTATAGCAGCTCTTCGTGCTGGACTCAGCCTTGATCCTAGCGCTGGAATCATCGCTTTTCCTTGGTCGCTCTTCAGCTTACTGCGTATTCCGGATGTGTTGTCTTACTACGTAGTGCCGCAACCAGATTCGGTATCAGACGGCATTGGGCTGAATACCTAAGCCGGTCGCATCTGCGTATACCTACCTTACCTAGATAATGTATCCGTGCTCTGTGGTTTTCCACAATTCGCCATACGCATCTTATCTAAGCATATGGCCAAATGTGCAGTAGCATTATCGCTTATGCTCTGTGAACGTGGCATTATGCGCTGATTACCTACTCTTTCCAGGTAGCAAGGAGATAAGATTAGGACTGATTTCCGAAGCAAATGAGTCCAGCCTCGTCTGTGAGAATGGTTCTGCGGAGTACTTCGACAGTGTCTGTGCCTAGAGGCCAAGCGAATGCAGCCTTGCAAGACCCTAGGTGCATGTGAATGCGGCAAGACACGTTGGCTCTTCTACCATGTTCCGATAGACTTGGAGATTCGTACCTTAAGTTGGTGCACATGTTTGCTTGCAGGCAGTGGTTATTTTCATGCTGTACCGGATCCTCGGGTATTACAGAACCAAGGTACGGAAGGGGGAACAAAGATAACCTGACTGCTATTATTAGGCAGGGAGATTTATTGGGCCACTGACACAGGTACCTTATGTAAATACGTACAAACCTGACCGGAGTCCAAAGATTCAACGCATGGCGAATGACCAAGTTATCTTACCTAGGAACAGTACCAACAAAAAGAGGATTGCCTACTTGGTATTCAAAATTTAATGTCAACCATTTATAAGAACTCTCTTCAATGGCAAGACTGGCTTTGTCATAGCTAGCCAAGCCCGAGGCCAACAATGTAGGAGCTGAACAGATCTCAACAAGCGCAGGTGGAAGAGTTGTGGAGCACGTTGGCATGAGTGAGTCTACTTCAGGTACTCGCAGCGTAGACCAGTTTCGAGGTCCTTGGTCAGAGTCGTCGCTATGGATACTTTGATGCAATTCAACGCTGTGGAGTGTGGACTCATGGAGTCATTCACCGCCGGCCGGTAACCTAGTGTATGTAATAGGTGGCTGCTATATGGTGCCCCATGGTCGCTGGATAAGCTGGTGGTGGAATACCCGGACTTTCCCCGCCCGGAGACTTCATAGTCGAGCCACTCAGAGAAGTGCGAAGGCAGTGTCCCATCTTGCCATCTTACCCAACAAGGTATCTTTGTCACTTTGAACTTGACTTCCGGCCAACTGCGTCACACCTCGGCTGAGACCTCTCACCGTCCTTCGAGTCATTGCTTTGGCCAGACTGCAGCGTCAAAACTTATCCATAGCCTCTCTCTGTCCAAAGCCTCCAATCTTTGAATGCACTTGCAAACTTCTACACCACACATATCAGACACAGCTGCGCATAGATAACGATCGCCATGGCCTTCAACTAGGAATCCAATTGAGATTCCTCCCCGTCACTCCAAAGTCAGCAACAGCGCCTTGAGCACGTCGCAGATATCACCACTCAGCTCAGTTATCAAAATGATACCGCGCATAGCATTTCGTTCCTCTGCCCTTTTTACTGCAATAGCTCTTCAAAATCGGCGTTGACGTTCATCGCGAGTTTGTTTCTACTCGATATCACGCGCCTGAGAAACTGCCACACATTCGCCACCACACTCCCCATCCTATCGCCACCCTTGTACTTGAACCATGGCTTCCGGCTCAATATTCACATTCGATACGGATCCTCAACGGGTCTCATCCCCATGGCTGGCTCCTGAAGACTCCGGGAAGAGGTCCAACTCTGATAGTGGACAAATCCAGCCGGGGCACCTCTCAGACTACGGCGTCACCAAGTTGGAAGCAGAGCCGCAAGAAGGTCCCACTGAATACAAGCTTCACCTCTTATTGCGGCCAAGACGGACATACATCGCTATGAGCACCATATCTTCCACCCAAAACTCCAGAATTCCCGCCAGCCGCTCAAAGATTGCAACTGCTGCCCTGTCGGCCTCTAGTCAGAGCCGACAGGTCCGTCTACAACAACTGACTACGCAATTGCTTTGGAGGCTCCAGCAATCTTGTGCCTACCATGCTCTGAATCCCAAGGACCTCATCATACCAAAATTACCCGATGATACGGACGACTTGAGCCAGGCGATGACTCCGCAGAAACCTCTCCCAGGCTTGGAAGAATCTCGTGGAGCATTGTATGAGATTGGTGTTGCTGATGACGGGACTCTGGTGGGGCTTACCAAAGACGAAATGGACGAGAGCATTACGACACTCAAGGTCATGGCAGCCACGCTAGGCTGCCGCGTCGAAATCCTACGCCATGTAATTGTTGGCGAGTGCGAGTGGCTAGAGACGTCCGAGTTGGTGGATAGTGTGGCCACTCACCCTGCCCAAATTGCTCGACAGGCAAGACTTTGGGTTGTAGAGGCTCTCGTTACTCCCGACTACTCAATGAAGAACGGGCACCCAGATGGCTCGGCAGAGGGGCGTCGCGAAGTGAAAGAATCGCCAAGGGCTACCGAGTCTGTTGTGCAACCAAGCAGAGGGCGCTCTACCACGGATCAGCTAAGGATAACGCTCACTGGACCAACGACGTCCGGGAAATCTACCTTGCTGGGTACTTTGTCCACGGGCACTGTCGACAACGGACGAGGAAAAAGCCGGATCAGTCTCTTCAAACATCGGCACGAGGTCGCATCTGGGCTTACTAGCTCTGTAGCACAGGAGCTTATCGGCTACAAGGACCACGCCATATTCAACTATTCGCAAGATCACGTCGAGTCGTGGATTGATATACACGACAGTGCCGAGAATGGTCGCTTGGTTTTTGTTTCCGATTCCGCCGGCCATCCCCGTTACCGCCGGACCATTCTCCGCGGTTTGTTCGGCTGGGCTCCACAGTGGACTATTCTCTGTCTGGCGGCTGACGATGCCGACGCGAGTTCGACAAAAGACGGAGCGAGTTCTACCGCCAATGACGTCCTTGGAGTCGCAGGGGCTGGCGTGGATCTTGCCAAAGCTCATCTCGAGTTATGCCTAAAACTGAAGACTCCTCTGGCTATCGTCATCACAAAAATGGACCTTGCAACCAAAGCTAGTCTGCATCGAATTCTTGGACAGCTCTTGACACACATCAAAGCAGCTGGCAGAGTCCCCAAGATCCTCCAACCAGCTCAAGGCAGTGTTCAGGAATGGGCAGCTGTTCCTTCAGCAGATCTCGACAAGGTGAAGGCTGTCACCACAGAGATGGATCGGGATGGGGACCTCCTCAAATTCGTTCCAATCATACTTACCAGTGCTGTCAGCGGTGCTGGTATTGGGATGACACATGCCCTCTTGGAGAGCCTCCCCCTGCCACCAGTCCCTACTGCCAACGACTACGTCGGGATGGCATTGAATCCCGAACAGCCGTCGTGCTTGTTCCACATTGACGACACTTTTAGCCTTCCAGCGTCCTACGCTTCTCTTGCTGAGAATCCCGATCAGAATGACATGGGAACGGTTGTATCCGGATACCTACGTTTTGGCCAGCTTTCGGTCGGAGACAGCATCATTGTTGGACCATTCCCTTCCGGCGAGGACGACTTCAAAGGCATGACACCGGAGGACCGGGCCTCTCCTGGCAATTATGGGCTGTCAATATCCCACCCATCGTCGGCAGAACTTGCCAAGATTGCAATTCGCAATACAGTGGCAGCCTCCACAATCCAAGGAGAATGGCACAAAGCCAAAATTGTCAGCATACGTAATTTACGGCTCCCCGTGAACACACTTGAAGCTGGTCAAGTCGGCACCATTGGAATCGTGCTGGAAATGCCCCAAGAGAAATCGGCAGAAGCGGCTTTCGAGACACCGTTGGCAGCTCCTCGAATCCGGAAAGGCATGGTCCTGGCCATTCCATCCAAACATATGGCGGACACCGGCATGTCCCTCCAAGCAGCTAGTGGACTTACGGTGTCATTCAGAGACCCCAACACTGCATCGCTGGCGTATGGGTCTCTTGTTAATGTTTACGTCGGTAGCGTTCGGGCGGCGGCCCGAGTCAAGGGTGTTTCCAGACTTGCCTCAAGGAATGGCTCGAACAAAGCCAAGTCCGAAGAGACTGAAGATATCTTCGACATGAACGAACATGACGAGTCAGCCCCTACATATGATCTTGAGTTCTCGGGCGGCGTTCAGGTTACATTGGAGCTGCTAACCAGTCGAGAATGGGTCGAAATGGGCTCTCAAATCCTTGTGCTCGAGGGAGGCCGCAATGATAGATCTGGTCTAGAGGGCTTCATGGGAACTGTCGTCGAGATTGTGGACTGATTTTGCTTCTTGCGTTTTGCATTTTGCGTTTGCGTTTTGCGTGGGAATTTTGTTTTGATCAGACTTTATAGCGGCGTTGTTGAGCATGTTACCACATCCTTCACTTATAGGTATCGTTATACCAGCGTTGTCATGTTCATTTTCAGATTATGGTTCTGCCATGATGTATACCTGCGACTAGACCCATATGCTGGTTCCCCAACGCCTGACGCCAGAAATGCCCCTTGACTATCCGATTTTATTATGCCCTCACCAAACCGTAGAACAAAGTCCAGGTGAGAATGAAACCAGAAAGACCTCCGAGCAGCCCACTCGTCCAGAAGTCGAACGGCCCCTTGAAGTAGCGGCTCGTGCTGAGGAATGGGAGACCTGCTGATGTCGATTCGGGAGCGATGCGCAGGACGTAGAACAAGGCGGCGGTGATGAAAGAGAAGACGAGGTAGAAGAGGAAGCCGCTGTACGATTCGAGACCGAGGATGCCGGCTGCGACACCAAAGAGGGATGCTGAAAGACTCTGCAAGTTTGATAGGGTCTGCAGAAGGCGTGATATGGTTAGCGACAAA